AATATTCAAGACCATATTCGTGTATTGCTCACCTGATTGAAAGCATTAACAGATTATTAGTCTAAAACAAAGCTGAGTCCGTCCTTCACTTTCCCAGCACTATAGGGTAAAGTGCCAAATTAAGTACTTACTTATTAGGATTTTATCACCTGTATCCCCAAACCAGGCTTTAATTTCTTTCACTCATTCCTAAGGCAATTCCCATCCACCCTGCATGACAGGAGCTGGGAACTTACTGGTTCCTGGTCATTTCACACCCAGGGTCTAGGCATGTTTGGGTGACCCCTTGGACTCTGAGCAGGTGCTGCAGACAAGCACTTTCTACTATGGGGTGAATGGGGTAAGATGGCAGGGCACCTGCCCTATCACTCATCAGGAGTTGGCTCCTGGTACACTTCCCTGCCCCCACAATTCCCCACCCAAGTGCTGAGTCATATCTGACTGTGCAGGCAGAATACTTTGCTAGCAGTCGCACCAGCCACATCAAAACCTTAAAGACTGGTTTGCTTTTAAATGTACTGAACAGATTCGTCTTCAAGCAAAAATATATGAGCTACACACAGCTACATTTCATGACTGGTAACAGCAGATGTGTGGGCGAGTACATGTTCATATATAATTTCAGCTGTTTCTCTGACATTTTGTGCAAACAAATCAAACAGCTCACCAAAACTAGTTGTAAGTTTTATTTTTATAAAATTAACATAAAAGATTCTTTAAAAATCTGCAGTTATTTACAGCAGTATTGCACAAGTAAAGTGGCAATTACCCTGTCAAAATTCATCAGTGCAAAACACAAGTAAGCCAGGGAAACTGCAATACAAATGCTACATATGCTGGGTCCTAGAAAACAGGTTAGTGATGGGTCAGTATACAAACAGATCAGTGCTATTTATAAGTGGGTACCTGAAGAGTTCTGATACAGTAACTAGTGGTCACAGAATCTGAACATAAAACATGAGAGAGCTTCTATGGTCCGAAATTCGCAAATAAAAGTAGTCAAGTTACTTAGCTGGGAGCTTGAGGATGCTTCTTACACACAATGCTGTTTAAAGTAGACCCCACGTTCCCCCTGCCCTCCACATGTGAGTAGACACACACAGGAACCAGGATAAATCAGCAAGGATGGCAGAACCACCTGCATGGAACCACCATGAAGTCTCCTTAAAGCTTCCACGAGCTTTCGCATCTTGACACCCAGTCCAGTGGGGCCCCAACCTCCCGTGAAGGAGATGGAGAATCAGGAGGGCATCGACCTGAAGAAGCAGACTGATCAAATGCGGTGACCAAATGGGTGGGGCATGGGGAGGGCTGTACAGTTAATTAAAATTAGCCCCTGAAGACAATTTAGTCCAGCCTCAAGCACAGGAAGTCGCACAGCAGGTGGGGGAAAACCCAACCACTCACAGTTGTCCACAAGGGGTTAGTGGCCTGAGGTGGTCCTGAGGCAGGAGCCACCTGTCCCACCCGTCCCCTGGTCTTGCCCGGCCCTAGCCCTGAACAACTGCAATGCAGCACCTCCGGAAGTGGCACATTTTAACTTTTTTCTAAACACTGAGTTGTCAGGGATACATTTTCAGTAGAAAAATCTTTCCCACCTGCTAATACTTTGGTTTTTTTGTTTTCCTAAAGATAAAGCCTGGAGTCAGCAAAATTTGCTTGCATGAGAAGCTAGTTGCTTTGGAACAAACAGAAGGTTGCTGGGTATTTCTTGGAGTAGAATTTTGTAGCCTGCCAGACTGAGTTTCTCACTGGCATCAAACACACACTTCATCATAAGGGCGGCAAAGCCCAAGAATTGAAACCCACTTGACTGGAAATACCAGGACCCAAAGCTGGAGAGCCACCCTGGAGGACCATGTGGTCTGCAATGAGCTCTCCAGTCACCCCCTACACCTCTCAGGAGGTAACTTCATGGAATGGCAGGGGTGTGGGAGACAGGGATGTTAACACTTTTCAGAAATTAAGACATTAAATAAGCAGAAAATAAATATACAATATTTCTACAAGTTACAGCATTATGAAACAGTAGGACACATCACACAGAAAAAGAATCTACAATATTTACAATCCTTGATTCCGAAAAAGTTTAGAAAAACAGTGATTTTTTTTTTACTCATTTATGCTGTACAAAATTTTACAAGAAAGGTAAAGGAAACACAATTGCACACAGACATTTGGCTCAGTTGATAAGTAAAATATGACCTACTAATCTAATAAATACTCACAATATATACATTAAGAAGGGGAACGGCAGACAACTGTATTCCACTATATTTTTTAATCAGAAGGAATTTTAAACTTGATTTCTCCACAACCCCCACCCCCAACATTCTTCATCAACTGGTTTCTGGGAAGGACATCTGAAGAATCACTCATGAAGCTATTTTGTGTGCGTTTATTGTGTTTCTGTGTTAAGTCACAGGACACTTTTTACAAACCTCACATGGGGAGAGGTTGTCAAGGCACAAAACCTGCATTAGGTTTCCAAAAAGGGGATTTAATTATTTTTTCTACAAAAACGTTTTTTAAAAAAGGTAAAAACGTATACCCACGGGAGGCATACTTTCTGCAGAGGAATCTTGATAACCAGATACATACAGTACAGAGACATCCAGTCATCGCTTTAAGTTCTGGTGCCAACAGCCTGTTCTTTAATACTCCTACAATTCATAGAATCTCTAATTTCCTCAGGAACTGTTTCCACATCCAGCCTGGAGGCCACCAGGCCAGAGGGAAACGTGCTCGTGTGTTGAACACAGCCCCTGGGCAGCGCAGGACAGGGCCCCCGGTGCCCGGCCCAGGGCTGCACCCAGTGTGTGCTCCCAGGGGCTGCAGAGCTGAGGAAACAGAGTAAAGTGCTCTAGTCAGGAGACTGGCACATGAGTACAGGGATCCTGGGAGGGGGCGCCCAGAACCAAATACATCTTTGGTGTGTGTGTGTGTGTCCAGCAGGCCGGCGGCTGCAATCCTACCACCGCTCATAACCGTGGGCTTTGTGTAACCCTACAAATGGGCTCGAGACACATTAGGGAACAAGTTGAGCTCCAACACAGCTTTAAAAATAAGTCAAAGTCCCAAGGAGATTCTTGGGGAAACGAAATTATTTAAAGAAAGAATATTTGGAATTAAATCATCTCCATCTAAAGGAAAAAGTGAATATGCAACACATATATATATGTATGTGTGTGTGTGTATGTGTGTATATGTATATATATATTTTTTAAATTATGAAGATACAAGTGTTTAGATTTTTCCACCTAATTTAAATAATGTGAACATTCTGGCAAAACACTAGTTGCTGGCACTGCTGATTCATTTGAAGATTTACTTATTTCTTTTAAAAGCTGTTTAATGATTGGAGTTTTCAAAAATTTTAAGAGTTACAGAGTTCACAAAATTGTCTTCCCTCCTCAATTTCACTGCTCCCTAACCTGACTCTTTCCTGTGTCTCCCTGGGTGTCTGCTGCCTCTGAAACGACTGACCAGTGTGTGGTTTCCTTCCATTGCACTCACAAGGAGCAGGCACAGAGAAAGAGCACCCTCACTACAGGGCTGGGGGCACGAGTGGCCTGACAATATCCAACTGTCCTGGAAGAACGAAAAACACAGACTTCTGCCCAGAAGAATTCTTCTATGGTGCTGGTGGAAGTGGGATGAAGCCTATGTTTCAAACTGAATTTAAAGGAGTGGGGCCAGTGGACTGAATGCAGGAGGACTAAAATGCAGGAGGCCAAGCAAATGGCCATCAGAAGCCCTGTCCCAGGCCTGTGCCCATTCCCATGAAGGCGTGAGCTGGATGCTGCAGCTGGACTCTGCTGTAATGGACACGGTGGCCCTCTGGGACCTGATGCTGACAGTGCATCCTGTGAACATGGGAAAGCCTGCAACCAGAAAAGCCAGCAGCACAAAGGGGCGTAGCACTTAGGTCTGTTGCTATTACTGCTATTGCCTCTTCAGAATACTTTCCAATAACATACTCATCAAAATGGAATGAAAACCAACACCAAATGCTTCCCAGTTAATAACAGATCACTCGAACTGTGCAAGATACAGGCGGATATTAACTCTTGTTCTGCCTCAGTTTCACTTTATCATGAAAATACACTGGATCAAATCTATGCATCTGAGTCCAGACTGGAGGTACATCACAAAAAGTGATGAGGAAAGACGCAAAAATAGTCTGAAATTTTGCCACAGATGCAACTGAATTTATAAAGGTACGTAAATATTTACAAATGGGACTGGCATATCAATGCAGGTGACAACAGACCCTCTGCCCTTTTAATCAGTTCCATTTCAAAAGAACTCTTTTGGTATTAATAAAAATAATTTTAAAAGGTCAAAGAGGCAATAGTAGGGAAGGGAGGGAGTATATCACACCTCTCCCTGTTTAAAAATTCTGTAATCTCTAAAAATAAACTAAGGCAGCTTTTTAAGTTAGCTGGCTCAGTTTCCACTGCAGGGTTTACATAATCCTCTGAGAATAGGCCATAGGTTCTTAAAATTTTAATACAAAAATTATTCACAATTGATTAAAAAGTTTCCATTTCCTTTTTGAAAAACCTTATTAAAGGTGATGGGGAAAACACACTGCATGTAAACACCATTCTTAGACAAAATCCTGTTCCAAAAAACCATGGTTTGTACATTAAAAAGCAAAGAATGCTCCCTCCTTTACATTCACAAGAAACTTCCATTAGAAATTCTGCTGTGTGGTGATGAACAGAAAGGTCAAGTTCCCATCCAGCTCGGTGTCTTCTGAACACGTCACCTGCCCCTCCACCAGAGAACCGCTGGCTGCATAATAATGGCACCAGGAGACCGCGGTGCTGGGGCTTGTTGGTTCGAACAAGCAAAATGTCTGCACGTATCTCGGCTCTGCAAAGAACCTGTCAATGCATTCTCCACACCAGGCGGACAATGTAACGCAACAGTCGTAAGATAACCATTTGTGGGTGGTCTTCGGCTGCTTGGTAATTATTCAAAAATACCTGAAACAACAAAAGGAAAGCTTCTTAGTTTCTCCCTGATTTGGGAGTGGGGAGGGGAGGGAGCCCATATTTAAGTGAACAACCAATCCCAGCTTAAACACTATGAAAGGCACCTCTTCACGAGCACTGTATCACAAAGCACGATTCCTCCCTGAGACTGTGAAGAAAACTTGTTTTCATTTCCCTGCAAAGGGGAAGACATCCCTGCAAAGGGGAAGACATCCCTACATAAAGGGCAGGCATACCAATGATTTACTCCTTAAAATAGAAAAAAAAAAAAAAAAGCACCCAAAAGAATGTTTGAAAAACTCAAAGAGGATGTAAAGCAACTATCTTACCACCCAAGTTAATTGACATTCAAATATGCTGCAGATTCCCTCACGGGTGAATTTCTGGTAGCTGTAATTTATTTGAGAAACCAGTGATTTGGAGTAATCTGCCCTAAGAAGCTAAGCAAAGTCGTGCAGTGATGCACCATTGTGCCTCTGGCTGCTTGGCTACGATAAACACTGTGACCCAGAGGGGTGCCCATGGTCACAGACACAGGCACTGTCAACCCCCATCCTCCTACCCTCTCGGTGTGCGGAGGAAAGAGCAATCCAGAACATAAAAAGCCTCTGTGCCAGTGACCAGCCTATGTTTGTTACAAGCTGAGGAACTGTTCAAAAGGAAATCACCAGCTTATTCAATGCTTTCAGGGTCCTCAGATCTTCCACAGCGCCCACTTTCAGGTTCTAATCCATCTTGTGGGTAAGTGCAAGGTATAAATTCAAAGTTGCCAAAGGCGGCGGGAACACAACACATCAACCTCAACGCCATGAGCTACCAACCTGGTTCGCCGTTCAAGTCTGAAATCTGCCCTGCACATTTCTTAATGACGAATCCACATGAGACTGGGCTACGTGACTGTCTCTCCACAAACCCCCTTCTCACTGAGTGGGGGATGCCTCCAACACACCGTCGCGGGAACCACCGGCCATGAATCAGGGTGAGACAACTGTCCCCTCAGACCCCGAACAGCCCCCACAGACACCAGCTGCAGCTGCAGCTCCACTGTTTACACAAGCTCTGCCTCGCTTGTTTGACAGAATGGGATTGTGATAAGGCCAGGGCATTTCCCCTTTTCCTTCCATAACAAGATTGGAGGAAATCAGCTTTATGTAAGCGATTCCTGTAGAGGCACTCTGTAACCACAGTCTGTGATTTTTATCTGTTTTACACACAAGATTGCTTTGTTTTGATTTAACTTTCAAAATTACTTTGCTGCCTCTGTGTGAGAATAATTTAGGGGAAGGTTAATTTTAGTGTAGACTAATATTAATAGGTTGAAAGAAACTTATTCAAAATAAAACCACAACTTACTAAAATGAAGAAAGTGTATGCTATGATGGGCTAAGTAATCAATCCAGGCAGGGAAGTTTTGTGCCAACCTGGTGTCACTGCCATGCTCGGTGTGGCCAGAACATGGGGCTGACTGGGTGTCCACAGTCAACAGGACACCAATGAGGGGGCTGTGTCAACGTGAAGGGCAGACTCCAACTGCTGACACTTGCTAAGTTTCATATTCCAGCACTGGCAGCGTCCAAGGGAAGAAATCTTCTGTCCACTCTTGGAGGACAGCAGGAGGCTGTGATCAAGCTTAAGTAGAAGTCACCTCACGAGAGAATCTTTCCAAGTTTTTAGAGTTCCGCTTTCATCTCAAATGTAAAAGGATATGGGGGTGTTCAAAGACATGCTGGACAGGGTGGGGAAAATGCAGGAAATTTCGGCAAAAGTTACACCCAGTCTCTGACTCGTGAGAAGATGCTAAAGCATCGCAGTCTGCAAGGGTGCGGGGATGCCTGCCCTCTCAGACGGCGGGCATGACAACATGGCACACGCTTTTAAGTTGACAAGCAATTGCTTTTGGACGACATTCAACAGAGGAAGCCATTACCACGGATTCAAAGAGCTGTGCCAGCCCAGAAAGCATTTGACAGCTGGCACGGCCGGCTGGAGCTGCTGTTGGCTTGAAGCGTATGCCCGTACTGCAAAAGACAGCTGGAGGATGGGCAGCCCCTACCTCTGCAGACTGGCTGCCCTCTTAATACCTGCAGCCATAAAAATTACTGCGGCTTATGGTCAGGGCCTGGTGACACTAAACTGGGGCAAGTGGCCAAAAGCTGCAGTGGGGCGAAGATGCAGAACTAAGACTGACGGCTCAATGCTGCTCAAAGCGCCAACAGCTTCAGCCAGCTCCAGTGAAATCTCCCTGCGATCTAGATACGTGAGGAGCGGCTGCTACAATTCAGCTCCTAAACCAGGGCCTTTGGTTTTGGGGTGGTGTAAGGGGTCAGGAGGGAGTTTGAAGCGATTAGAGAAAGCCCCCTAAGATGGAATGCACTGGTGAAAGGTCAAAGTAAGGGCACACCCAGAGGCTTCTGGCCAGGGTAGCATATCCAAAATGGAATTGGAAAGTCAGGACTAAAAATGACAATCTCTGTATTGTTGGGGAGCTGCCAGTTAAAAGCAAGTATGACTGAGCCAGGAGCTGTCACTTGCAGTATGAGTGGTCCCTCGCATCTAATGTAGGCTAAGACAATAAACACACCCATAAAGGAGCATCAGCAGCCATGCCTGGACTGTCTTCCTGAGAGCTGCTGTGTCTGCAGAGCTGGCCTCCTGCCTAGAGTCCAATAAGTCTGCGTCTGCTATAGTGGTTCTTAATCAGGTGGAAGCGACATCTGTGTATCACAAGTGCATTTAAGTTCTGCCACTCCTAAACTGGGTAATATAAAAAAGACACACTGTCTTTCCTGATTAAAAGCGTTTTTTAAAAAAACTATTAAAATAAATACAAACAGGGAAGATGCTCCACTCCCTCCTGAAACTTCTGGGTGTCCTCCTCTTTATGGGCTGAACTGTAAACTGTGTCCCCTCAATTCATCTGTTGCAGTTCTAACCCCCTGGACCTCAGACTGTGACTGTAAGTGGAGACAGGGTCATCAATAAGGTGATTAAGTTAAAATGAGGTCACTGTGGGGTGGGCTCTAATCCAAGGTGTTCTTAGACAATCAGGACACAGAAACCCACTGGGGTAGACCACGTGAAGACACGGGATGACGGCATCTACAGGTCTGGAGGCTAAGTCTGCACCAAGATCACAGACTTCCAGCCTCCAGAACTGAGAAAAATAAATTCCTGTTGTGTGAGCCACCCAGTCTCTGGAACTCTGCACAGCAGCCCTGACTGACTAATACACCCTTTCACTGATGCTTATCCATAATTCTCAGTCTGTCACCCTTTAAGTGAAAACAATCCTTCTTACAGGGTTGGATAACTCTGTTTTAGTATAAATTGCAAAAATACTTTAGGAAGATATAGTAACTCATTTGGGTGAAGAAGATTATTTTTAAAGACCAAATTGGCTAGTAAGTTACAATTGAAGTGACCATACATTACAGTTCTCTCCTCTCTCACTCTTTCTCTACCCAGACACACATACACACAATCACAAGTGCACAAAGAGGAGGGCCCCACCCAGTTAGGTACTGTAATCTTCATAGTCTAAATCAAGAGCTATATGAGGACTGGGTTACCTGGAGGTAACTGCCTTTTGTGGCCATCCCATGTGTCCAGAAGATGACTCCTTCAACATTCACAACCTTGTATGTCCCGCCAGGAACCAGTTCCTGACAGCCCCTGCTCCTCTCAGGGCAAGGGGCTCCAGTGGCCTTGATGCTGACTGGCATCAGGTGGGGGCCCAACTTCAAGGCACGTGTCTGTGTACCCACTAGGTCTGGTGGTAATAGCTGTGTCGCCAGCACAAAATAGTAAACAAGATAATAAAGTAAGGACAATACAGAGGCAAATAAGATGAGAGGGAGAAAAAACCTGGCCAGAGAGGAAGTCGGGGAGCCAGGGCAGGAAGGCACGAGGGTAAATCCCCACATCGAGCCCCAAAGGAAGAGGAGAATTTCTTGAAAGGACAAGAGGAGAATGGGCAGTGCAGGTGGAGACAGAAGCTGGGCAGAGGCAGCAAGGCCAACAGGCAGAAGGGGCCAGCAGTTCAATAAAGATAATCTAAGTAGTGGATAAATATTTATCATAAGCCAGAAGGAAAAATCATGCCAAGCTGCAGGATTGCTCCTCCATAGACTGTGCCCTCTAAGTGTAAAGGCATAGGATTCTGTCTCTGCAAGTTTCCTCAGCATAGACTTAGGCAGTCTTTCTCTGAAGACATGAACAATGCCCTTTGAGATGGTGTCGAGCATTCGACAGGGAATTCCTAAATAGCTCTTCACACGTCCCCATGACACCAGATGGCACAAGCTCATCTGGGTGGCAACTGGGGAGGAGCTGAGCCACAGGAATGCCCTAGCGTGGGGTTCCTGCTGCCTTGCCAGGGGCTGGCACTGCCACTGCAGCGAGGAACATTGAGTGCAGGGCAGGAGCATCTTCAATTTACACTTGAGACGACCAATCAAGTGTCAGGGAATTTAATGACATTCTAATGCCAAAATAATCACAGAACAACACTCTCTTGCTCAGTCCAGGGAAGCAGATGCTTGGAAAAGAAAAGAGGCCCTGGCTCCAGGGAACTGGTCAGGCTGAACACCAGACACCTATAGAACACAGCTTTGGATTCAGCTTCACTCCCCAACAGTGAGAGGAGTCAATCCTTTGAAAAGCTGCGTAGGACACTCCAGGCCTTTGGACTTCGTGTGCCCAAGCTTGGGGATGGAAGAATTGCCATGGCCACCACAAATGAAATAACCTAGCCCACGCTTTTCAGTCCCCACAACAACCCTGAGTGCCAGGGGAGCATTCCCTGCTGTTTTGCAGCCAGTGACTACAGAGTTGGTCAAGCAAGTGACTCAAAGGGTGGTGCAAGACAGTGGCAGGACAGGACGGGTACTCTTGGTCCACATGAAGATGGAATGCCAGAAGCAGGACAGAAGTTAAACGAGGGCTTTCAGGCCAGCACCTTCCCTCTTTGCATGCCCTGTCCCTGTGCCTGTGCCTGTGCTGGGAAGGGCCCGTTGCTCCTCAGACCTGAAGGGGGCCTTGTTTCAGGCTAAGCTGAGGTCACAGAGGTTCTGGAGTGAGAACTGAGAATCACTAAATGATTCCCACAATGCAGCTCAGAATACAGCCCACTCATCCACACTCCAAAGGCAGGGTTGACACCCACTGGGCCAAAGGACTCAGTAAGTATATCACTGACCTAGAAATAGCATCGCTCAAGGGGGGACTTAAATTAAAAAAGCACAAATGTGCATAACACAATTTAAAAAAAGGCTGAGATCAGACATGACATCAAGGAGTTATCCTGGGAACCAGGGGTGAGATGTGCCGTAAGACAGCCACAGTTAAGAGTTTCCTGGCAGTCAAAGCAACAAGGGAAAAACAATTTCATCGTCATATCAAAGCAAGCTCAATTCCTAATTCTAAGAGGCATTCAAAAACAAGGTATACCTATACAACTCTGAGATGCAGAGGAATTTAACTTACTCAAAAACTTGTTTCTTTCAGAATTTCAACACTAAATGTATAGGGTGTCCTGAAAGTTATTTTTTATATATAAGTATTTATACATACACTATATATTATTATATATTATATATAATATATAATAGGAGGCTGAATTTTGGACTGTGAGACCAGGAAGGACAGAGGGAATCTCTGTTCCAGGCTCAGGCAACTGAGGAAGCAGTCTCTCTCTGGTTGGTGTCTGATCCCCACAGGCTGCAGAAGAGAGGGCCTGGGATGGACATCCAGGAGCCTGGGAATACCCAGGGGCTGTCACGGCATCTTTAGGGACACTGAGGTGGCAGGGTGGGACAGAGGACTAGGAGTCGCCCCCCTGGTTCTGTTAGAACTACCACCCCACTACCCGTTCATAACCCAGCAGTCTAAACAGCATTTTAACTGGCAACCGAGTGACACAGAGGTCAGAGAGAAAAAGGCCCAGCACATAGTCAGCATCATGTGGAGCTCTTCAGGAAGATCTGGTCTCTCTCCACTTTCAGACCAACCACCACAGTCAAACAGCAGCTGAGCTGGTATTTCAGTGCTGGTTCCACATGCATGCTGTTTTCAGGTGTCAGAGGAGATTGCTACAATACTGCCCAACACCAAATCCACTTTCTGTTCATCACCAAGGCAACAGGGATATTTGCATAGCTTGTGCCTACTGCACTTTGATGCCACCACAGCTGGGGAAAGGGCACTGGGAAGTTCCCTCCCAGATGCATGGTACCTTCACCCCAAACCAGTAGAGCACTCTCCTCCAGTGCTGCAAAGCTATGGGTGCTGCAGCTGATTTGCTATGGTGACAATGTGGTCTTCAGAAGTCAGATAAAAACTACATTTGCATAAGCCAAACTTTTATCCTATTTTTGACACACTATTTCAAAGAAATTACGATAGTTAAGGCTTCTTGTGAGACAAATCTCTTCTCCAGTGAATGTTGGGGTGAGGTTGTGCACTGAGGCTCTTCAGGCAGCGCAGCACAGCCCTCCACTTGGTAGGTCTCTAGCCTGTCAGACTCCAGACCTGGTGCTGGCTAAAGTGGGGAATGACTCCTGCCTGCCACTTCGGAAGTTGTCACTGTTCTATGGCCAACCACAGAGAAGACACAGATTGTTCTGACATCTGTGTGAGGCACCAGTAGTTGGAATATTAGATTCAGAGAAGAAACACACTGTTTCAAAATGTTCCAGCCTCAGAAAAAAGCTAAGTGAGATGTAATATAGTTTAACCACAACTAAAACCTCTCCACTTTGTTTCAGGTGGTAGAAGTCTAGTGAAGGATGATATGAGAAGCTTATTAGTTTTGAGCGTCTGCAACAGGGCCAAGTCTTAGTTTGTGTGCATCTTCATTTCCTCCTCAAGAGATTAAAAAAAAAACAAAACCCCAGTTAGACCTCCTGAAGTCCCCTTCCAGGCACCTGCATCTCCTTCCTCATGGTTACGTGTTCATGGCCTTGATCCAGAGCAGCCAGGCAGCCCTGCAGGTGTAGGCACCTGCCAAACAGATGAGCACTCACACGTGGTGCAAACAAGCACAACTCCTCTAGCCCAATGCCCACCCAGCCATTTAAGCACACACCAGTGCCTCAGCCTCATCTCACATTTGCCTACACCCAGACACAGCATGTGCAGTAGGGTCAACCACACAACTCGTTTAAAAAGCAGTTCCAGAGTATTTAAAAGATAAGACAGGTGAACAGAGTTCCTGGCATCTCCCTTTCTAAACGCCAAAGACCCACTGAAAAATGTTTCAATTACAGTTCAAAGTGAGAGGAAACAGAATTATGATAATAGATGATAATACAAATTTTCTAGCTCCATCTCTAAATGTTCTTACTTAATCTTCACTATATGCCTAAGGGATAGACCAGGAAATGGGCCTCCTAAAGGTTAAGGGTAGAGCCAGGGTTCTAGGTCTGACCCCAAAGTCCCCACGCTTCATGTTTTCCTACGAGATCACACTCTGGCTTCAACAAGTAACAGAACATGCTTGTCTGGAAAACCAGCAATCCATAGTCCACACAATCCCAGCCACATGTGCTCCCAAAAGTCTGAGGGAAGAACCAAGGAGCTCATCATCTCTGGCCATTGTACTTGTGGGATGGAAATGGGGTGGTCTAAGACAGGCAAGGAAGGCTCCTAAACCCAAACACTGAGCTGCCTCCTCCAGCTCTAAGGAAAACCCTTGCTGAACCTGAAAACTGTGCCACTGATCAACGGCAGGTACACGAGGAGCTTATCTAAGCTTATCTAAGCTCCTCATGACTGCTTTTGTTATGAAAACTGGCATTCTATAAACTCATGTGAGTGAAGTGTTGGGCAACCTATCATTGTATGAGTTACATCTAATTTGAACTTAATATCTGATGTGCAGATTTCCATGATTCTTTTCACAGTCAGTAACAGAAAGCAACTTCTTTTACTAAACTCCAACATTCAATTAATGAAGACCTCCAAAGTACGCTGAGACCACACATTTGGGTTTGTGTTCAGTTTGTGCAATTACCAACAAGCAGGCTAAACTTTAGTCCTTGCCTTGGTACATTATTCACAGAAGAATGACTACCATTTATAAAAACAAGAATGAGACAGCACTGGGGATTTCACTTCTCAAGAAGGAGAGCATATAAGTATTTCAAATTCATATATAGTATAGGAAAATGCTAATGTAATGACACATTAAATTCTTTCCATCAAAATCAGTCTGCAAGCCACCTTCTCAACTCTACTTTGTCTGATTCAGGGCTAGATTTTGGTCTATGTGCACTTCAATCAATTCATGTCTGCACATGCCCTGGACAGAGTAGGAAGTAGGCAGTGTAAACAAAAGATCACTGTTTCTTGTGATCAAACAGTGAAAGGGTTTTCATTCACTGCTGGCCTCATCTGGAGAGCAGCTTCATGTGCTGCTGTCCACTGCAGCACACCACCAGGACATGCCCAGGTCACAGTTAGCCAAGAGCAGTGTTCCTGCACATGGAGTGACTTGAGCTGGACAACCTGACTGCGAAGAACCTAGAAGCCACAGAAGGAAAACAACTCCAGCTTCAGTATTACGGGTGGTGGAGGGGAAAGAGGGAGGCAGAACGGCTCCAGTTATTCCAAGAGCAAGCATTTTTACATTCTAAGGGCTTTGGATCGCAGCCCCGGCCCATGGTCAAGACTCCCACCCAAGTAGACACTACCCTTTCAGTACCTCTGTTCCACATCTACAGAGGATCGCAATCTATCCCTGCTGGCACTGCGTCCAGCAGATGAACCGGCACATGCACTCACACAGTTTGGGTGATGAAAGAAACTGGCAACAGCTACTGAAGAACAGTCTGGCTGTCTTGGGCTGACACACTCACGAGGAAGAGAAGGTGCAGGCTGCAGAAATACAAACACTGCACCACTCAGGTAAAGGCAAGCTGCTCACTTTCTCACAAATTCCAAAATAAAGACTTAGCTTCTCAGAGAACCTCTCTTCCCTCCATGCCCACTAACATCCCTGTGCTACCTAGCCTTTACCAACAGCCTCCCTACTCTCCACTAGGAGTCTCAAAGCTTGGAGTCTTAGAGAGCGCCCCGCACAGCAGACCTGCATAGGAAGAGCTGTGAGCGTCAGTGGCCCTCTGGCCATAGTTCATTCAGCAACAAATGCCTTTTAAGAGCTCCATGACCTTCACAGCCCCTGGGCTTTGTCCCACAACTGGTTCTCCCTGTGCCTGCACTACTGGTGCCTCCTGCCAAATCTTTAAGAATCTGAGCATCAAAATAAACATTGAGAGTAATGCATTGTAGCCCATTGAATAAAACAGGAATCCATGAATCCAAGTTGGTATACTAAATAATTATATGAGAGAGAAAGGAAAGCTCTTCGTCCTTTATAAGCTCTGTCATATTACAAATGGAAAAGTACTAACTTCACAGTGGAAGACACCACCTTGGATCAAAGTGAACCTCATCAGTAACAGGACAAATGGACATCATGTGCCTCCTGCTGTGCCACACTAAGGACACATCACCTCTGGAGTGCTCCTGTCAGAAATGCAAAATGTGAGTCTCATCATGCAGAAATATCAGATAAATCAAATTCAGGGAGTCTGTAAATTACAACTGCCCTGATCCTTCAAAAATGTCATAAAAGACAAAGACAGAGGATGGTTCCAAATTAATGGAGCCAGAGGTAAGACACTTGAATTCAATGCATGATCCTACATTGGCTCTTGGGCCAGAAAATACATTTTTTCTTTTTTTTTTTTTTTTTCCTGAGAAGGGCACTGTTGGGACAAGTGGTAACATTTGAATAAGGTCCACAGATCAGATAGTAGTTCTGTAAAACTATTTGTGAATTTTGATAATTACACTGTGGTTACACAAGGGATTACTCTTATTTTTGGGAAATACATACTGAAGTATTTTTAGTGTAGAAAAAGCAGTATCATGTCTGTAGTTTATTCTGAAATAAACTGTACACGTGTACAAAGTGGGAAAACATGAAAACAAATGGGGCAGATATAAAAGGGTGGTTCTTTGTGTCTTTCTTGCAACATTTTTGTAAGTCTGAAATTATTTCAAAATGAAGTTACCAAAATCCACTGTAGTAGTAAAACTCCGACTGAATAGAGGGGCCAGCCGTTCAGCCTGGCAGGGTCAGCTGGGAATGACACTGCATCGGGAGAGAAGAGGGGACATGCACTGGGACTTTGCGCTCACCTGTGCCTCTCTCACCTCCTCCTTCAAGGATTCAGCCTCCACAGCTCCGTCTCAAACGCTTCCCCACTGCCCTTAAGTGGACTGAATACATGACAACTACACGACAACTTCCTCTATTTCTCTAACTGGAAAAACGGGAAAATATCCTGTCAGGCTTCGCAAGGCTCATGGCAATAAAAGACTAACACTTTAGACAAGGCATTGTAATAGCATTAAGCAAATAAAGACAGTCAGTATTTAAAAGGTTAATATCCATCCGAAAGCAGCGCAGTGAGGTACACTGCTTGCCAAGAGAGGATAATTCCCTTGTGAAGACAGCAGGTAATTTGAATTCATTATTTCCCAAAACGGCCTCCCATTACCTTCCCAGATTTCTGCCCCCAATATTTAACAATGGACCATTAAGTGTGATTCCAGACAATGGACTGTTTTTAATCTAACAAGTATCAAGACGGGTGTCTGTGGCTTTGAAGATCACTGTGTCACTATCCAGAGTATTATCCAGTGTTTTGAACTATTTTTTTTTTTTAGACGGAGTTTCACTGGACTACAATGGCGCAATCTCAGTTCACTGCAACCTCCGTCTCCTGGGTTCAAGCGATTCTCCTGCCTCAGCCTCCCGAGTAGCTGGGATTACAGGCGCCCACGACCACGCCCAGCTAATTTTTTGTATTTTTAGTAGAGACAGGGCTTCACCATCTTGGCCAGGCTGGTCTTGAACTCCTGACCTCAGGTGATCCACCCACCTCGGCCTCCCAAAGTGCTGGGATTACAGGTGTGAGCCACCGTGCCCGGCCTTGTGTTATGAGCTATTTATAAAATCTGAATATATTTATCTTTGTTTTAGAAAAATTGCGTTATAACCTAGAATCTATCCCTACTCCTGCCCCCCAATATACCAGCCTACTAAGAAAGCTAAAGTCCTTTAATTATTTGTGACTGTATTTTTGCACTAATATTTTTAAGATATGCAAAAGAATATGCACAATGACAAAACCTTGTAAATACTGCAATCAGACAAATTTCTTTTACCAAAAGCATGGGAACAATAGGTTGCTTCTTACTGGAAACACAGACATGACCATCTTAAACATTAAACTGTGAAATGACATTGGGAGAAGAGGAGGGGAGGCAGGCTATGAACCTGTTAAGGTGCTGCTATCACATCCTCAACAGAGAGGCAAGGTAACACAGACAACCCAGCAGCCTAGGTTTCATTTGCATGTGACTCAAACTACTTCCCACCTTGACAGCTTCACAAGAGGATGGCTGGGGACTGGGATGCACTCCAGTCCCCACGCCAGCCTTAGCCCATGTCTTGTCACTGACCACTCATGGCAGCCATGGAGGTGCATTCACCAGGTGCATCTGGGCAGGCCCACAGGAAAGCCTTGCGGAGTCATGCATTCATACTGCATGGTTTAAAGAGAAACTTGTATAATATCCTTGAACACATCCAGCTCTGTAGTCAAAATCTCTAACAGAATCCTTGAGAATGTGCGAGCTTATCTCAGTACCCAGAGCTCCTGGCAGCAGGGGGACATGTGGGCACCAGGCAAGGCCTACTGCCGCCGTTCTCTCTCAGGCAGCCCCATCTAGATGGGAAGTGTCTACAAAGTGTCTACAGCCCCGAGAGTGTCTACAAAGCCCCATCCAGATGGGAAGGAGACAGGCCCAGGGGATGGTCAGTTCACTGCCTAGGTTCAGAGATGTCTCCATACCCACCAGAAATGATCTATCCTGTTGGATTCTGGACACAATCCCAGAATCGGGACTTGAGTGTATTCACCTACCCTCTTAAAGGGACTCATGTCCTCCCCACTTCCATCCTGAATACACGGTGGTCCCACTTCTCACCAGTTCTTCCTAGTCAACCAAGAGACAGCCACGTCCAGTCACACACAGGAACACCAAAATCTCTTTAGGTAAACCAAGGCAGAGGAACTGGAGGGAATGGTTACTTCAGTGACAAGTTATAAAACCAACCAGACATCCAAAAAAACTACATTTCAGATTTAGGCTGGAAAGGAACGTATGTTCTGTGAACTGGCTTATGTCAGGTGGAGGATGCCAGGAGTTCTGCCAACTAAAGACAGTATTTTAAGAAATTCTTAAGTCCATCAATGTCACACTTCCCATTTCACAACAGAATCATCACTACAGCGCGCTCCTCAAACACCCCCACAGAAAGGTAGGAAGATCCGATGTGTGTTTGAAAACATCCTTGACTCTTACAGAAATTCCATACTGAAGAACTGAAAGTGTCCTTTGTAATGGGAAAATGTCTATTTGTCTAAAAGAAGCCTAAAAAACATTGTATAAAGGCAGAAAAATAATAATTCAAAGGTAAAATCCATTTACTTAGCAACAAGGAACCAAGCATGACCTCCCCTAGAAGAGAAAACAGATTAAAAAAAAAACCTTAAGAGGTACTTATATGAAACAACAATGTCCAGGAAAAAAAAAAATAGAGCTAGAAGAGAAGGGGTAAGAATAAATGATATTAACAACTATAACATTTTCCACAAAATAAGAATTAGTGTCTTCCTTTTGGATAAATCAACTGAATTAACACCTTTATATGAGGTGTTTAAAACTTTGTGAACAAGTAAATACCCTATATCACACTTTTGCTAGTGCACCCTTTAGCAGAAGCAGTCACAGGTGTTCTCAACAGTACTAACTCCTGGAGTCAAGGTCTACACATTTAAAAACCTCCCCCACGTGGCCGGGCGCAGAGGCTCAGGCCTGTAATCCCAGCACTTTGGGAGGCCGAGCCAGGCAGATCACGAAGTCAGGAAATCGAGACCATCCTGGTCAACATGGTGAAACCCTGTCTCAACTAAAAATACAAAACTAGCTGGGTGTGGCTGCCGGCACCTGTAATCCCAGCTACTCAAGAGGCTGAGGCAGGAAAATTGCTTGAACCTGGGAGGCGGAGGTTGCAGTGAGCTGAGATTGCGCCACTGCACTTAAGCCTGGTGACAGAGCAAGACTCCGTCTCAAAAACAAACAAAAGTCTCCCATGTGAAAAAGGTGTCCAAATGGTCACCTATATCGCCCCCAGGTAAAACAAACAAAAAAACACCGCTTCTACTAACTACAGATGATGATACAGGCTAAAATTTTTTTAAAAATCAAGAACATAGCTCAAAATAAGTGGTAGTCAATTATCCATAATATAAAGTTTTTATAGCTCAAATTACAGGCTATTGATGAGTGGCCTCCTAATACATTTCAACAATTAAATGTCCAAAGACAACAGGGCTCTGCAAGGGCAATGGCTCCATGCTCTTACTCAGTTCACCCTGCAAATTGCAGGAGAGCCTTTTACATGAGTGCTGGGATCGCTCCCATGCGCTAAGTGACAAAAGATGTTGTTTAAAAATTACCTTTAACTTTGACCTAAAACGCACAAGGGGAGTAGAGAAACACACTACATCGATTGAAACCTATGTTAATATTTAGGTGAGACTATCTCAAAGTCTATAAATAATCCCTATTTTAGCATTGTTTTAAAGTCTGCTCATAAAATTCCTTTGCTGCCTCCTACTGTATTATTTAAGTGCCATTACTTAAACTCAATCATAAAACAAATGAAAAATGGGAAAGGAGAAACAATGAAAGGTCACAACTAGGCAACAGTATTCATTTCCAGAATTAGCATGTAGTTACAACAAGTCACTTTGTCTTTTTTAAAAAATATGGTGTGGAAGGGGAGGGCGTGGGCAGAAAAGGGGGTTAAGAAAACATCATTACCCTCCTTGCATAGTAAGCGTTAAACTCGTCTCCGATTCGCCGCAACTCTTGGGCGATCCGTATCTCCGGGCGCATATCTGCAGGTTCAGCCTGCCTCCTGGAAGCTGCATCAGAACAAACAAAACAAAAATCACACTGTGGTCCATGGATCACTGGGAAAGTTCCAAAGATAAGTCTCCAAAGGCAAGCCCATCTCACACACTCTTTCACGTTTCTGGGAGCTCCCTGACTTCAAGAACTACAGCCATGTATTAAAGGTTAGAGTGGCACAGTCTTCTACATAACTCTGGTTAAAGAATACGAGATATAGAATAAAATTTCCTTTTTCAAAACTGGAGATTCAGAATTGCTGAATTCATTCCGACCCATTCATACAGACTTCCATTTCAAGAAGCTACTCACAAGAAAATGGAAAATCCTGCCAAAGAAATAGGCTTGAAACATAATTATAACAGAACAATTTAGTTTTTCAGTAAAATAATCATTCTGATCTTATTACAAGGTAAAAATTTCTATATAACTTTCAAACATTATCTAAAAATATGAGGTGAAATGGCTGTCCCATTCAAAGCCAAATAAGCGAAACCCCGAGAAACCTGAATGAGTTGGTTTCTATCAAAGCAGGTACGATGATACAGACAGCTGTCTTCAGAAGGGCTACCCCAGGGCCAAAGGAAAGCATAATTGCATGTTTTGTCTCAATATTAATGCATCCAATCAAGATGAGCTCAAGTCTGCAAACACCACATGGAGAGAAAAAATGTTTTTGGGTCTAAGAGCAAAGGCATTTCTGAAAGGAGAAGAGAGAGGGAGGACTGCCCTTTCATTAAGCTGTCACTAACATTCACACCCAGTACATTCATCTGTGTACTAATGAAACCATTAAAAGCCATGTGACAGCCAAAATTGAAGGAGAACAAAAATATGAGTTGTCAAAAGATCCCATTATGCATTAGGAAGATTATATTCTCCATGTGCCACCAGGAAAGCATTACACTCAGAGGCTAACAGTTCAGTAACGTGTACAGGAAACGAGATAAAATTCTTGGATTTCCACCACTATTCACGTGTAACTTATGCTAACTTACTGTAAAAACGGGCACACCGTACTCACAATTAAACACACGTATTACGTTTTCACCAGAACAAAATATGTAAAAACCTATGATAATAGGATTTTGCAATAATAAGGAACATAACTTCCTGTTTTTTTTTGTTTTTGTAAAAGGCCCGTAAAACTGACACTGATTCAGAGCTCTATAAAAGCACTTAAAAATGAACACTTTGAAGAGTTTTTGCCAATTCCTCTAAAATCTCTTGCCTCATCTTCTCTGACCCCAGCCCCTTCCCAAGTGAATTTAACAATAATCCCACAAAGGGAGGAACTGCTGTAGGAAGCCCTGGTGGAGAAGCACGAAGGCTGATGAACAGGAAACTTTTAGGATGTCAGGCATGGCCTCTGAATACAGCCAACCATACAAAATTTACTTTGATTGTACCTGTGTCACACAAATGTTTCTAACAAATCTGTAAAAAGTCTTAAAAGTAGTTTTTTGAACTAAACTGGGAGAAAACAAAATCTCTGGGCAGATGGGATACCAGGTGATGCTGATGTCATAGTTCCTTTCCCTGGGCTTACCGCCCTTTAAAGAGCTACTCTTTTTAAGTGTTCATGCCCTGATTTAGAAGCTTTTAACAAGTCAGTTTACCCTTAGGGGAAGAAGAAAAGTGTGTTTTGTTTGGGCACCCACTGCACAAGGGTCTCACGCAATCCTCCTAAAGGAGATGCGCCTACCCGTACGCACAAATGAACGGTCAGCCAGCAAGACACCATCACTCACCTCTCCTGAGCTTCAAGCTCCACCTGTTTCTCTCTACACATGACTGACAGAGAAAACTGCCTTCAACCCCGGAGTCAGAAGTGAAGAAAACACCAATTATCAAAAGGATATCTGTGAACTACAGATTGATGTTTTATAAAGTTGGCAGACTGGTAAAAATTGCAGGCCAAGTTACCCAATACTTAATACATCAATGATATTCACAAATCCACTCAACAAACACAAACACTCACATGCCTGACATTGTTCTAGGAGGTGCTCTGGGTATAGCAACAACAGAGGCCATGCCCTGCTCCCACGGGGCTTACCTCCTTGTGGATTAACCTCTTGATTTCAACTAACTGCTAAATTTCTTTGGGACAAGGAGACATATTTTATACTTTTTATAAGACAAAACAAAAATAACTCCCCCCATCAATTTCCCCCAACTCGTAAATAAAGTCCACTGGATTCTCTTTAACACCTTGGCTTGTGTCTGTGGTTTAGAAGCTTCCACGGCTTGTGCTTGGGCTGGCAATTGCAAACACCACCAAATACCATCAAAGGGCAGTCTCTGTCAGAAGCCAACCTATCAAAACTAGCACTTAGTGAATACATTCAACATAGCCAGCAGGTAGGAGCTTTTAACAAGTTAGCCAATTTCAACTTATTCATCTTAAGAGATAAATGCCCTGCTGGCTTTGGCAGAAGCAAATAAGCAAATGGCCTGTTTCTTGTACAAAAAGAAAAGTTCAGTAGTTAACATTAATTAGCCTAAATAAATTCATAGATATAAACACATCCCTAAGCTCTGGCAGGGAGAAATGGAGAGGGGTGTGTGTGTGTGTGTGTGTGTGTGGGTGTGTGTGTGCGTGCGTGCATGTGTGTGTCATAGGAGGCTGTACTGTTACAAGTCCCTAAGCAACTCTGATGCAGATGCTTTCCCAACCAGACCCTGGTGGGCAAAAGGTAAGAAACCATGGCAATGCCCTGGAGCCCTGAGACATTATCTTTAGCATTTCAGAGTTAGGAGAGTTGTATTAACCAAAGATAATGGTTTAGAGACTACGCTTATACTGGAATTGCATATACTGGAATTGGCAACAGCTACAGATTACTAAGACAGCTATCAACTGTACTTAGGTGTCGTTTTAAAAAGTTATTATGGAAATAGATACTATAAATTCACTTTGCAAAAAAGACTGATCTGTGGGGGCTACTCTAACTAGCACCTATCACTTTTTTTTTTTTTTTAAACCAGTGTTTTTTCGAGAAGCAAATACAGTTATTTCTTGAATCTATAAACCTAAAAGTAATGGCAAACATCCTGCAATAAAACCTAGCTAGTATGCACACAGTAGTACATAGCTATGAAGACTACATGACAAAAACACTTATTTTGACTACTTTAGCCCTATTTCTAGATTTTAAAAGGGTAGTTTTAATCTGTTAATACAGTGCAACATAAAGTTCAATTATTTCTTAAGTGACAAAATACCTTCTATGGGGATAGAGGAAGCCTCTCTTTAACTTCATGACTAATTTAATGTTAGTGAGTCTCACACCACATGACATCCACCAGAACAAATGAATGGGGTCTGGAAGCCCCACAGTGGCACTGATCAGCGCGAGAATTAAGTTTTTTATTTCCTTTAGCATCGGTTTGCTTTGCCACCACGATGGCAAAGGGATCCACTGGAATGGTCTTCCAAAAGTGTGCCTGGAGCCCATGGGGTTTGGGATACAGAAATCTCCAAACACACGTTGCTCCACCCTCACTCCTAGAATCTTACCCAGATACTCAACCCAATTCCTCCCATCCTAACATATTCGAGCTATCAAAAAGATAGCTTAGGTTGACATTTCTAGTTTATGAGGAAAGTAAGTACCAAGCATAAATATTTTATTTTGCTATCTGCAATATGTCTGACTGTCATAAATGTTGATACCTGGTCAATAAAATGGCTTTATTTGAAATGAAAGCTCTTACTCCGTAGGAAGATCAAATTTTTAACTTGGCAATTTTATGAGAACATAAAAAATTCTTCAAAGGGGAAATTCTGATGAGGTGCATTTTTACCCACAGAAAAGGTAGTTTCAGCATTTATGAAAGTACTTCACTCCATAAACCCAGCACTAATTTTTTTTTTTAAAGCACAATAAAATATAAAGTGCTCTCGAGGTAAAGCAGCTCCAAAGCTGCAATCTGCAGCAAAAGCTCCAATTCTGCAAGCAGCAGACTCAGGCAGAGGGGACTTCCGAGGCAGGTCCATGTTTTCTCTTTACTTGTTTAAAAAAAAAAAAAACCCACTAATCAAAACTTTTATAATGCAATGTGTCAGATACAAGCAATTTTTTCCAAAAGTGTGCCCGCGGAATCTTCAAACTTCTTAGAAATCAGGTTTTGAAGTCCAGAACTTACTGGTAACATTATTTCCTATGGGAAAATACCACGAAGCATTCTTACTCCATTTTTGGAGGAGTGGGGAGGGCATTTTCCAACACCAAGGAACCTCAGTTGTACTCAAAGGTGCATGTTTCTTAACAAACTATTCTGGCTCAGCAACAGACTACTTTTAAACTCAAAGTAATTTAAAATCTTAAAAGTTCAACAACTGAAAAATTAATACCGTGGTTAAGTGGTTGATAGTGAAATCAGGCTGGGGCTTTCACAAAGGACTTTCTGTAGCGCCAGCAGCCACGGCAGGAAATTTATTTTTTTTAAAGAGAGATTGTCAATTCATAATGAGCTCTGTATCAGTCAGGCTAAACTTTCTGATTTCTCTTTAATGTCCAAGAGCTTCTACTCCAAAAGCCTCTACCCCAGTGCTCCAAGGAAATGAAGTCACATCATGACATTCTCTCTCCAAAACCCAGTCGTTCTCTGTGACGATGCCATAAAGTGACATCTAATGACAGGTGTGTGTACTGGGCGGCAGGGGCATGCCACACACAAGCATCCTCAACTGCGCCTCAGTCTGGGAACGAGGCTGGTGCGACCCTCATTTCCGAGGGACAGCTGCTGTTTTAGTTCCCGTCTTACCATTACTGGAGTTTCAAGTGTAGTACCAGAAACCAAATTAAAACTCACGGGAACGCTTCACTCTGTACTGTTTCCAGATGTTCAGATATCTACAACACTCGGGTAGAATCAAGATTAGATTTTCAAGTAATCGGCGTGCATTAAGCTTTGAATCGATAGTCAACTCAGAACTGAGAGAGGATTTTACACACAGAATAGAACATACTTTGTCAAAAAGTGCACATTCTGTCTGGCACTTGTG